TTGCAATGAAGAGCGTTTGTAGATCCTGTCGAAAAAAGTGGTCTTGTATTAGTAACCACCCAAATGTTAGGAGGCCTCGTTTAACTTTTGATTTCCCTCGACTTAATTGGTAGTAAGATCTTACATCGAAACAAAATTTTGAGTGTATTGAAACATGATATCTCAATCTTTATATAAATTTCCCGTCAAATGTAAAGTCGTTAATTTCTTTATTCAAAGTCAAAATTTCGAGAAGTGGCGGGTATCCAACCTGCCGTTTGCAGATCCAAAATGTTTGCGTACATACCATCTCTGGGACGCCTCATGTACTCGTAGAAACGTCAATTGCCAGAGTAAAATTTCTCAATCCGTATCACCAGCACTTGCTAGAACATATATACATTACATCACATCAAAAGTAATCAGATTCATAGCCATTTTATATAAAAATAGATATTGCAACTACAAATATTGAAACCCTTTAAATAGTGGAAAAATTGTTTTTATTCACAGCCCTATGCAGGACTAAACCTAGCCAAATTTCACAAATCAATTGTATGTCATGCCGTGAAGACGCCAATTCATCCATACCAAAAACCTTCCGACCAATATGATGTGTGTCTATGTGTGACCGACGACAGAAATCCCATGTGCTAAACTCCACAAACACCTTGCATAATGTACCTCTGCTCAAGTATGTACTCAAAAGTCATATACCAATCCCTCGTATTAACAGTTGCATCCATTTCCTCAACCCAAAATGGCGGAGTAACTTATTTCTTCGTAGTGCTATTACTATCATCCCCTGGTCTCGAACTTGTGCTTCCTACTACCGTTGGACTACTCTCGCCATCGTATAGAGGATCATAGTCTTTGTTTCCCGACCTCAAACCTGCACGTTTATTTCTTGGTGTTTCTGGTCTAGTGTTTTTATGAGCTTTTGCCAAAACCTCATCATCTTCCTCCCCTTCAGACTGAATTCCATCACTGCTTCCGCTCGGATCAGCATAACGACCGTCTCTTCCCTCAAGATCACTATCGTTGTCCTCATCTGGTATAAGCTCATGATCAGGCTTTTGATTCTTGATAAATGAGTCGATGATGTAATATTGAGTTGCATTCATGATGACTGGGAAGATCAACATGACGAATATCACTTGTAATGCTTCATCACCCTCTGTCCATCTCAGTGCCCAGTCTCCAATTCGGGAAATCCAAGGAAGGACAAGGAAGATAATGAGCACGCATATTTTCATACCCATCAAACCGATGAAATAGATTATAGATTGTTTGAACCACCAGAATGCTTTTGGTGGGTGGCCATAATTGCCTGATTCGATCGATTCGGGAGGATTGCCAAATGGTGTCATAACAAAAAGCGAGGTAAGTATTCGAAGGAGAAATATGAGGATCGGAATGCCGATGGTTGTCTATAGTCAAATATTAGCATATATGGAAGTATCGTATCATAGACGAATGTACTTACATCAATAGCCAAGTTCAGTAAATAGAAGCTGCAAGGATTTGGATTATACTGCCCCGAATCACCCACCATTCTTTTCGCGACATTGCTGGCATCCAATTTGATACTGAATTGTCCACTCGATAACATGCTCATCAACAAATTTGCGATATGAACCAACACACTCCCAACCACTTGTTTCGAAACATCAAAGAACCAAATTTTCATAGGTCTTTGGGGTCTCTCTCTCCATCTTTTGTATACTAATGCCATCACAGCCAATAGACCTAACGAACCCTGAACCAATATGGCAAAATTCCCAAGAAGTTGGCATTCTCCAGTGTCTGAATCTGGGGAATCTTCATCTTTTGCGGTGGCGAGCATTGTCGCTGTCGTAGATGTGGGATTTACGAGATCGAGTAACAGCGCCGAAGAAGTTGCTATCGCAGAGGAAATAATGGAAGTGGGAGAGACATCGTTGAGGAGAGTTGAAGTTGATGTGGGCTCCAAGCCCGGTGGCGGTAGCATTAGCTGTCTTGTACGACGACAGTCGATATTCTTGAACGAGGATGGGATATGAACGGTTTGCGGTGATATGTAGAATTATCAAGTGATCGTCTGCGGAACCCTGGTCGTATTCTCGAATTGAAAATGGAATCAATATCGACAGTTGAATGTCGTGATGTTTGTAATGCCCGCAAACAGGGACTCTCTTAAGGTTAACTTTAGAGATGTTAATAAGTGCGCAATGACCTCACTAGGCGAAGTGGATTATATGGGAATGGCAATTTATTGATTGATGAATAATAGAAACAATCAACAATAGCATACTCCGTACAACAAAGACTGATGTGATATATGTGAAAAGTATAAGACAATATGAAAGTCAAAATGTATGCAACGACACAAGACAAGACAACACAACTCGACACAACACAACACAATAATAAAGATCTGAAATCAAGGTTCTTCTTTTCAAGCTGATGATCAAGTGGCGGCTATGTTGAAGAGGATGTGAGGCGATGCGAGGCTTGGATATTCTAGGCTAGTACCGCATACCAGATTTTCATCCTGTGACTCTGACTCTGAGCACAATTTATTCTGCTTATCCCGGTTGGATATCAAATCAAGCCTTTTGCTACGCTCGTAACCATAAAATTAGAGTTTCATATGTCTCAAATATAGTATCTCTTCTCCACACGAATGGCTAAACTTTGCACTTTATTCAATATGTACTTTATTATCGCTTGTTGTCTGTGGTCTGTTGTCTATGTCTATGAGATGATGAGAGGGGAAATGGCTTTGGATCTCCGAAATTCAAAATACCCCTTTTACCTCGATGTTCTTACATTGGATCCAACGATGGAGTACTCCGTACAATGGATGAGGAGCCGGCTTACGGAGTATATTGAAATGATGTGAAACATAAGACGCATGGTTCCTTGTCTCAAATACCAGGAGGTTTTCTCAAGCAAGGAGTCAAACGGTCGAATAGCCGCATTGGTGAAACTGTTTGATCCAATTTTGAAAGGTTGTCGGTTAAACGGAAACAAAACTTGTGACTTGGGAGATGTCAGATTGGAGATGGGGTTCTCATATCACCAACGAATGAATAGAGTTACGAGAATGGATTTGGCATTTGAAGATGGGATTGCCATATCAGCAATGAATGAATGAATGAATGAATGGAAAGCGAGACATCCAATCTGCACAACACCTACTACATACCGTATGCGGAACACAACAAAATCTCAATAGTATTGAACTTCACACATGACAGAGCACAAGGAGCTGTTACTCACAACACACAAGTTCCATTTCAGTAAAGTACGAACCTCTCATAACCCATCCCTCACCCATCAAATCATCAAAGCATCATCAAATCTCCATTCTAGACCGACCATCCATTGGTCCCTCCCTCCGTACACCTCCATACACCATACAACCATGACAAGCAAGTCTCCCATTGCCCATCGCGAGAACCCATTGCATGCATATCCAAACGCTCAAACAACCCATCCCATCACCGTCCCAAAGAAACCCCTCCCGTGAACTCATCATCCACATCGCGATTTACCGAACCCTCTAATCGCTCCTTCCCATATACAATCGATTTACTTAGCACTTGGGCATTTCTGAAATACAAAGATTGATTAGCTTTCTATTCACATTAATCCATCCATCTCCTCTCCCCTCTCCCTCCCCCTCCTCAATTCCTTACCTTTCCACAGCTGCAAACATAAGTATCCTTATCCGCGCCCTCTGGATACGCAACACCGCAGCTACACGCCAAACCGCCCTGGTTAACGAAGATTTGAAGACCTTGCATATTGTTCTTGACTTTCGACTTTGTGTGTGTGTGTGTTTCTTAAAAGGCAGGCAAGCAGGCAGGTAGATATTCGTAGAGTGCAAAAGCTTTCGATATCAAGACCAGATGTGCAGCTCAGAAGAAAGATCGATAGATAGATATATAGATTTCTTCACAACAGAAAGATACGGTACTTAATACACAAATAAACACACTTCTCCGCGAAGAAGAAAACGCAACCACCAATAGCAACAAGAAAGAGGGGCAAGCAATCATGCATCCAGCCCTCCCTCCCCCTCCTAAACACATTCACCGAATCTCTCTCATCCAATCTCACCCCCCTCCCTCCCTCCCTCGAGCATCCCCACGTAACGTAAATAACACATCCCTTTCTCCCCCATCTATACCCTATCTATCTACCCAGCAGACATCCCTCAACCAATCACCACACCCCTCTTACCAAACCTCAGACTCTTAACTATGCCCCGCAAACCAACGGCAAGGAAGTCACCGTCTCCGTCGGGAGGCATATCATAATCGTGTGATAAGAATCTCAGATACGCACTACGAGGCCAACCAATCCCAACATCACACATTTTTCCTCATTTCATCCATCCACGCAATTTATGCTTATTCGTGCCTCGTGACCAAAGTTGAATGAATGCTCTTTATGCAAGTCAATCACTCATCCGACCGCCCGATATCCGATAGAAGCACGCACGAGCCGTTTAGCATTTGGTCTAGGCGGAATTTATTGCAACACAAAGCAATGTTGCACGAAAATGAGATTTCCACGGAGGAGTCTACGGAGCTCAGAGAGCCTTATTACTGGGCATTATTATTCCCACATCTGTGTTGTAATCGAACTGAATGTTGTACAAACAAGGTAGAAGGACTAGGCAGACACCGTTGCAAGGCTATATGGAATGATTTTGAGGCAGTGAATGTGTAAAATACGAATCAATAAGGCCCTAATGTAGCAATTTGGTATTCGAAGCAGATGGTAGTATGTGCAACAATCATCATCCAAGAAAAAGGAGAATCAGCCTCGCGAGTTAAATGCCGCCCTGAATAGAAGAAAATTCACAATCTCAGCAGCAAAAGCTCTCCCGTCCCCATTGCATGTCGAAATAGTTGCTCTCTTTCCACAGAAGTGTAGGAGAGGAGAATAGTAAGTTAAGCTGTAAAGGGGAAAAAATCCATGTAAAAAGCGAGGGTTTTCCTGTCCCTTCAATAAATCAACAACACCCTCTAACGCCTGAAAACCAATCCCCGCACAAGAGCGAGGAAAGAGGTATTACGCCTTCCACCTGCCATCGCTGCACCCTTGATTCCACGATGATGTTCCAAATGTTGATAATTTCCCCCCTTTCCATGCATAGCAGTTGTAGTAGGAGATTTCTTCGTTGCAATTGGTGCAGATTGTGTTCGTCGTGTTTTCTTATTCCTAACATCCTTCGATGGCGAAACATTTCTAACCCTGGATGACGGGCCCATATACGCTGTAGACTCCATATTAGATATAGTGTTTGGGCGAGTTAGGGGCCCGTCAGATTGTTATTCGATGTTGTTCGCGGTTTTGAGCTGTTCTAAACTCGCTTTGCGAGCAGCGTATGAATCCGATTGATTTGAATTGGCACGCATCTTTTCCATTTTCTCGGGTTGATGGTAGAGAACTGTTTACCCAAGTATTAGTACAGGAAAATTCGATTGGAATAGAGACGCGGAGCGCAGACGTACCGACTAGGTATCGATTTTGGAAATTGAACCCATTCAATTTATCGCAAGCAGTCTTGGAATCCGTTACGTCTTCGTAGACAACAAATGCCGTACCTTTCGTGTTGGTAGCAATGCCTTGACGAATTTGTCTGGCGCATTGTCAGTACATTCTCAAAGATCGAGCAGGTTCATCTCAATAGAGATTCTTGATGTAGGTCCCGCCTGAGATTGCTGCCTCTCTTCCAATATACATACCGGATCGCACCGAATTTGCCAAACAGATCAAAAAGTTCTTCTGGCGTTACGTTGTAGCTATTATTCCAAATATCATCAGCCCTATGCACCTCAATCTGATTTCCATGTACACCAAATCCACAACCCCATCTCCAAGTCTCCACATCTGTTCTTTCTTGCATCAATCCACATACCTTAGATTCTTGACGAACAAAGCTCTACAATCAGCACATATGTTAGCTATGGATTCTCGATTCTAGCATTGAAGAGCCGGCTCACGCGACCAAATACAGGTACAATGAACAATAATCCTAGAGAGACATACCGATTAACTTCAGGAGCAAGTTTACCACCTCGATTCATAGCTTGGCTACAAATTCTCTTCTCTCAAACGTTACTTCCGCTTGTCAATATCTAGTATTATCTTGATTATTGGAGTTAGGTTGATGCGAAAAAAAAGGTCGTAGTATGGTGTATGTAACTGGAGGGGCGCACAGGTGGAAGCAAGCCTTCTTTTGTTCGTTGAAGGCTCAGGATTCGCGCTAGATTATATCGAGACTAGCGGCACTACTGCCTTAGAAATTTTTGGAGTCGGTGAGATCTTGATAAGATTAGATCTTGTTAATACCTGCTAGGTAGGTTGGTAGGTACGATTTAGAAAAGCTTTGAACTTCACAAAGCTGGAATTGTTCTGCGTATTTATTGAAGAAATGAAAGAGAAGGATCAGATCAATTCCTCTTTTCGTTGGCTATCTCTATGGCCTTCGAATAACCTTTCGTATAGCTATTGGTTAGGCCATCCGCCACATTGCTTGACTTGCTCTGAAAGGGTATTGACTTTGCACCGACATCATTCACATTCACAGCCTTGAAGTTAGGTAGTAACAATTTATTTGTTTGCATCTTCTTAGGTAGTACTGACGATCCTCATGTTCTATGTGTTACACCTGCAACACATATCTTCATCTCTGCGTGTATGTTGCCGATAGACTTTGAATATACAGTGAAGTGTTATCAATGTCGTCTCTCTTGACAATCGAGTATAAATTTGCCACTTGAGTTGTCGCCCCTTAACAAGGATAGCCCTTTTATTCACATGGTCTGTGACGGCATCAATTGCCTTCAGATGTGGAGATTTCACTCAGCCTGAGCTTTATACTCAAATTCTCATATCGTGAATACAAGGAACGTAGCACCGCATGTACCCACGCAGAGAACCTGCCCGGTGTACCATGGGCCATTTCAAGCCAATATTTGATGTCACAGAACACATTATGGTATGATCTAGAAGAAGATCAATTTTGGTACTACCTATGTATGCATTTACCATGTTATATATATTTCCTTGAAATCACCCTTCCCTTCTAAAGATCCATTCTTTTGATATCCACTTATGTGCAGTGATTTACCTTTATCAACTGTAACTTTAGTTCCCGTGATAGTAAATCGTCTCTCTCCAGGAACCCATCCATTCTCATCAGCCCATTCTTCTTCTACATCTCTCGTAAACGCAGTTACTCGTGAACAGGAATCTGAATCCCAAATGCCTTCTCGGTAACCCTTAGCTTCCCTGAGAGTATCAATCGCTTGACCTCTTAACTCTCTATTTCGGCAATGTGTTCCAACCATAAACATTGGAAGTATAACGCCAAAGTCAAAGTGATACTTCCCTCCTTGAATGATACGCGGCCGAAGTTTGGCTACATATTCCATTATTATACCAAACTCTTGAAAATATGCGTCCCATTCAATTGCGTTGACAATGAACAAACTTGCTACTTGTATCGTCATCATAGCCGCCTGTATTTTAGCAAGGCATGCAGCTAGAAATTCTCGAGAATCTTCGCTAGCACATAGTCCTTTGTTTACTAATGGTGCTGCGATACTTTCCCATCGCAGAATTTCATCAAGATAGGTGGTACAATCCCGTCTAAGAGTCGGGTTAGTACTAGGTATGACCGCAACAGAGGTCCATGAACAGTTCTCATCTTTGAGATCTAGCCCTTCATCGTCGGCTGCATACACGATGGGTTCTTCGTCATTCTTCGGTCGTTCTTCGAGGATAGTTTTTCTCGCTGTCGCTATCCAATGAAAGTTTCTCCGCATTATAATCTGCCACCAGTCATGGCATTCTTTGATACTTGAGAATGAAGAAGGCATTGATAGCAACAAATGATTCAAATCACGAGTTCGTCGCTCGTGAAGCTTTGAAGATCGACGATCAATTACGCATAGTGCTTGAAGATCAAGATCTGAGAAGGCTCTGCATAGATCATCGTCAATTGTAGAATCTTGCTGACAGCTGAAGGGCGGTAGGCTTTTGGATTTCTTGTCGAGCATAATCTCATGGAGAAGATTTTCTCCACTGGCAGCATGAGAAGCCGCTGTTGCAAGATGTCCCTGTATACTTTCGATTGAATACACGAGTAGGCAAGCAATGAGTGCTTTGCGGGCATTGTAAGAGCCTGGGTTCAGAGCTTGTCTCATTCCGACGAGAGCTTTACCATACTGGTCGAGGCCATATTGACGGTGTAGAAATGCCTCTATACCATTCGCCGTGCGACCTTTACTTAACGCCCCGAGGGCAACCAGAGCTTGGCTAACGAAAGGTTCCGATTCGCTTGCCTGGGGAATCAGCCGCTCCCAGACTGATCGATTAAACAATCTCGCGATATCACCAGCCGATGTTTCACGGAAATATTGAAAATATCGAGAATCTTGTTCGTTTTCTAGGATAGGACCGATGTGTATATTGACAATGGGTGATCGTAATTGTGGGGGAGAGTCTACCATGGACATTCGATTCGTATGCTCCCGCGATGATCGTTTGACAGCATGTGATGGATACCCCTCGCATTGAATTCCAGTCTTCTTACATCTTTTGCAAGAAGGTTTCGTTTCCTGTTATTCGTTAACACATATCTTGTGATAGAGTTGTGGAATTGCCCCTATACTTCCTGGGCAATCAGTCGACAAAGTATTACATACATCGCATTTGACTCGGCGCACTCTAGAAATTGGGTATCAGCTCATGCTAGTATGGCATATAATTGTTTAATCTTGTAACATTGAGATAAGACTTGCATACTTGCATGTATAGCATCCTGTCTTGACCTTTTGGTGCTTCACCCGGGACTTCCTCGAAGCCTCACTTTCATATGGAGCAATGTCTGCCTCCACGGTCGTAAGAAGTTTTCTATCATCCAATGGTGGAATTGTCATAAACTTTGAAAGTCGAAAAGGTTTCATGATTGCTGTTCTTGCATTGCAACATCATCATCATGGGCAACATATATCCTTGTATCCAGTGTAAGATCTCATACGAAGTATTTTAAGTGGTGTGCTTGTCGTTAAACAGCCTGAAATTCCTGGTGGGTCATTTCTCAAATGGTGCTACTCGAACGGGTAGGTCAATAGGGTGGTAAGGACGAGTACGGGATCAATCGTTGTTTGTATCAATTGATGTATAAACAAGCAAGTCAATAAATCAATATAATGTGTTGAACTTGACTCGATTCATGGGATTCATGGAGAGTACTGGTACAATGCCGGAGAATGGAAGCGGAATGTGTCGTCTCTTGCCAAGGCCATTAATCTGTCTTGGTGTTTTCTAACGAACGCCGCTAAGATTTAGTAACGAGTACATGCCAGGTGCTCTTCATTCTATCATACTACAACATCAAACTCGTTGGCCAATTATAAGGATTTCCTCTCGCCATAGGATCAGCATCACATACAGTCTTGAGAACATGGTCCTCAGGTTCAAACTATCTAGTTGTCTTCTCTTCATCAGTACCAATTCAGCGTTCTGATGATTTTCAGTCACAAAAACACCCTCAATTCGAGACTGTATGCTTCGCCAATAACATCTATCACTGCTGTTATGAGTGAAGTACAGAGTACAACCACAAGTCAGTGGAGTAATGTGCTTACACTCTCCTCATGTACCTAGTAAAGTAAGCAAAACCTGCTTCTTTTCTGTGATTAGTCACGAAACAAGATAGCACATTCCACAAATCTTGCTACTCAAATCACAACGGCTATCCGTGTCGAGGAAGAGATTGCCATATACAATTACACTTGTGACGTTGTATCTCTCACTCTTTTTGCATCTTTTTGGTTTCTTGAGAATCCAAAAAGACAAGAAACATGTGAAAGGGAGGCATACCGAGAGATCAATCTCCGAATTGCTTGCAGGAAGTTCCTTTGGCCTCTTTTCCCCAACATCACCCGTTTGGACAGATGAATAGACCTACTCTGTCTATATCACGACTACACTTGGAATATGAACGACGGTATCTTTTTTAGCTACCGATGGCTTCACTTTAAAAACGAGATTTCTTGTGTGTTCGCCTTTGAGGTAGGTACAGGATTCATTTTTATATACCAACGAGTTACCTATAGTAAGTAGATAACAATGAATTGGATCTTTCAATAACTTAATGCCTACCATTACCATCAAGCTGCTCCTCAAATTACATCTCATTGAAAATGGGGTTCCTCTCAGAGGGTGGCAATCCATTTCTTCCCTTAACCTCTCGTTATTGTTTTTGGACGGCTCCTTCTTATCAACGATTTGCCAATAAGATAACTAGGTACCGAATCAACCACCGAAGAAAAACTTGTTTATCGTGGAATGGAAAATACCGGCTGTCGCACTCACAACAACCTGGACAACAACAACACGATATCAAGGTTATTACGGACAATCAAACGTTGGATTTTTTCTAGAGAGGATATTGTACCTGCTCATGTGTGCAGATTGAAAGGTGTGCAAGAAGCCTGGCTCGAAACCACCGAAGTTTCTTTCGCACGATTTTCAGACCTACCACCTGAGTTGCGGATTCTTGTATGGACGCTCTGCTGTTACATGCATGGACGAATTATCCTTTGTGAGAGGGGAATTAGTATTCGTAGTATTTTATCCCAAAAATGCTCGCCCGAATCCTGGTATCATTACTGCTTGTGTGAAGTCAAGAGCCGCTGCCTTGGAGTGCTACTACGCTTCGAAGCGGAACAAACCCACCGTATATTTCAATCCAAGAGGCAATGACATTATGTACGAGCAAGTGAGATTTTGTCGGACCTCTATTGACACGTCTAGCGATAAACTGTCACAGTCTTCCCATTTACCAAGGTTCCCGGAACAGTATAACTCGGGTCAGTAAGGAAAGTTATCGAAAGCTTTTCCAATCCCGTGGTGCCACATATCCGAGAGAAATACTCGTAGTCATTGAGCCATCTCCTTGGAAGTCGCTAGATTTGGTAGGATTTAAAGACACAAAAGATTCATACTTGGAAGGGTCATGTGGCCATGGCATTATAGATTATTGCAAGTTTTTCGGATCCATCAGTTTCAATTCTATATATAAAGCGACTGATAATGTTCGACGGTCTACGAGAGCGCACGAGAACGGTTGTCTACATTGTCTACATTGCATGAAGCCAGACGATTACTATTTTCCTCTCTACGACTTCCACGAATTCGAAGGATGCCGCAAACGCTACATAAAAGCAGATCGCGACTTCGAACAACAAGAAGGCTTCCCAAAAATACGATTTGCCGAAGAAATTTTTACTCCGGGCCTTCCGGTCCTCAGACATAGTGAATTCAATCAATATCTGGTATGTTTACACTATTTTTCATTGTTTTCGCTTGCCTTCATCATTTAACTTATATATATTAGTATCTGAATCCCAATCCTACTCAAGCAACTCATCCATTACACCAGAAGTAGCCTGGCAACATCACGTTTACGCAATTGGGTGGGCGTAACGAATCACGCACAAATACATTCCTAAGGATTCAAGCAAACGAGCTTGTTTGGCAATAGTCGTATGAAGTGGGAGCTGGAGGGAAATCTGGTCATGAATAGGGTGCAACTTTCAGTTTCATCCCAAGGGCTTTAGTTTGCTTCTAATTTTGCACAAACTGATGGGAAAACTGCGAAAATCGACTCGGCGATATCTCTTGAAGTACTAGGTATTGTTCTAAGCACTTTGAGATTTGATGCAATGATTCATTACAAATTGAACAGTGAAAACCCGGCTCCTGATAACAAACAATAGAAGAATGGATTAGTTATAGGTTCTGAAAGTTAAACAGGCTCCCATCATTCCATGTACTCACCAGTGCATCATCTGTTCACACCATCGCCAGTTAAACGTACTGCTTTCCACAGCTTCATGCATCATATCTACATTCAGATACTACGCCTCTCTTCCTTCTATCATGAGAAACTCTGCCATTCGATCTTAATACTTGAGTAATCAGTATATCGTCTATTCGCTTCTGGAAGTCTCGTAGCGACATCAACGTGAAATGCAAGATTTATTTCTATCTCATCACTATTCTTTCTACAGCCCACATATCCATTTCCAGAACTCTCAAACCGTCATCCTATACCATTAAGCATTAATCATTACACAATAAACAAACTTCACAACCTTCTTCACAATCCCCCGCCCCAAACAAAAATTAACATCTCTCCAACCCCAACCCCGACCAACCCAGACCGTGAAAAATCTCTTCAACAACCAACTTCACCGGCCTATATCCCGACCTCGGGTGGCGATTCAACATTCAGGATATATGGATGTAGACTCATATCTCTATTCCCATTCTTCATCCCCTTTTTACTAATTTTTTCGCCCCCAAAACGAAACGTTAAAAGATTAAGAAGAATGCCGCGTAGTATCGCATCTAGCCTTTCGTCGTCATCTTCATCGTCTTCGCGGAGTAGAAGAGGTAAAGCTGCGAGCTCAGTGGGTCTGAGTAGGAGACAGAGAGGGTATAGAGGGGGCCATCAAAGTAGAGTATGTTTCAATTTTGTTTGTGTTGCATTGTGGATACCTTGTTAATGATGTTGTTAGAGCGCGAGACCAGCCCCTGTGGAAGAAGGTAGGGCAGATGTATATGAGGAGGATAGTGAAGATGAAGATGCGAATGAAGGGGGAGAGAATGAGGAAGATGAAGAAGGAGAAGAGAGTGAGGACGAGGAAGAAGAAGAAACGAAACCTTCCCCGGAAGGACATCCTGTAAGTATTTTCACCTCCATTATCAGTTGGGTCTTAGTACCGAAATGTAAATCCTAATAATAAATGAAAGCCCCAGCATGCTAGTCCAAGAAGAAGAAGGAAAGGTACTTCCAGTGGCTCATCTAGACATTCAGCACAATCCTCTCGAGGATCCCACGGCTCGTCGGGAAAGCACAGGAGGGGAAAGAGAAGGAAGCAAAGTAAGAAGAATGAAAACAGAAGCAAAAACAAAAGCAAAAATAGAGAAGGATCGGGGTTTTTGGGAAAGCTGAGGAGTGCATGGGCGAGAGTGACAGGGTCGCCTCGTAGAAAACGAACTGTTTGATGCATTGGAGATGATTGGAGGAATGAATGGAGGGTTGAAATTTGTCTTGTAAAATATTGGGTTAACAACTATACAACGGGGAGTTTGTGTAATGAGAGGGGATTAAGCGTTTGTATCTCAACATCCGGATATCCTCTATATCCGGTGACTTTATAAAATCCTCACTGCTACAAAAGAACAAACACCCACAGCCATGTCTATAAAGTATCCATCCTTCTTTGTCATGACCCGAGCTAAACAACTATTTGTCCATTCATCTAAGAGCAATCATGTCATCTCCAAAACACCTTCGCATTGGCGTATTCATTCCAGCTGGATGCCAGCTTCTTGATATGTCAGGCATCGACATTTTTTCCGTGCTTTCACCAGAATACCTTTCAGCATGTGGGTTACCAGCCCCATTGGTCGCACTTGGGATTAGTTGTACGATATACTATATATCTCTTCCGTCCACTGGGCCCGAAGTTGAATTGACAGCTAATGCTTTCCTTCGATTATCGAAAACTACAAAAACCAATGAAGTGCAGCCAGGTATGTTGGATATCATGATGGTTCCGGGACCAGATCCTAGAATAGTATCGGATCAAGACACACGAACATTTTTGAAATCACACGCCGAGTGGAGGGGAGAGAAGGAGAGAAGGTTGATATCTTAAGCATCTGTACGGGAATTTTCTTAGTGGCACAGTGTGGAATTTTGAAAGGATTGAGTGCTAGTGGACCAAGAGCTCTTATTCCGCGATTGAAGAAGGAGTTTTCGGACACAAAATGGGTTGATGACAGGAGGTGGGTTGTGGATGGTAATATTTGGAGTAGTGGTAAGTTTATGATCGCACAGTATGTACGCGCAACTAACACGCAGATAGGTGGCATTACCAATGGACTAGAGATGATTGCTGCATACATAAGGCAAAAGTTTCCTAGTCCAGCAGCAGAGGCAGTAATAGCAATGGCAGATGTTGGAGAGAAAGGTGTCTTTTATACAAATGGAAATACGAACGAAACGCTTCGGTGGTTATGGCAGATCTTGAGAGCAGTTGGTCTTGGCATTGGAAAGGACAAAAAATCTCGATAGGGAAGACAGGAGTAGCATCATATTGTTTGTTGCTTGAGTGAAGCGTGTGACAAAACTCGAAGATTTCCATGGTGTTGTACTATTTTGTCGAAACGACTTATCTGCAGCCAGATTCTCAAGTTGTCAGATTGTGTAAGAAGCATACCTATAGAGATTGAATTTCCAGTGAATGTAACGGTGGAAGCCTTTTCTTCTTGTGGGTGGTTGATGTGCTTGATATGATTTTAACATACTCGTGACATATATCGAGTAGATGTGATATAGTATATACTCGAGTATCGAGGAGTATCGAGGAGTGTCGAGGAGTATCGAGACTTCTCGAGACTTCTGTATTGGACCTTTAAAAATCTTACAGTGGAGAGCTATGAGAAAATAAACGTCAATTAACCAATCATCAACCAATCAAATTATATCGATATACCAAGAGCTAACCCTCAATGGGTAGTAGTTGTCACACAGTGGATCTCAAATCTCACTAGCGTAGACGGATAAGCTATCTTAGTGTGTTTAGTGTGCCGCAGAATGAGAAAAAAAAAGTTGTCGGGTATCTTTTCTTCAAGAACTACCTTTTATCAAGACACCGCTCACCAATCTCTTCTTCTAAAATCTCTTCAACTCATCTCAAGATTCTTATTTACTGTTTGCTTTTTGAAACAGTTCTTTTTCATTTATATTAACATCAATTGAATCATCAATTCATAATTCCTTACATGATGCCTCTCCTTCCAGGTATGTCAACAGAAATCATCTCGTCTGCCTTGTTTTGGTCTTGCGAAAATATTCATCTAACTTCGCGCTACAGTCGCCATGTACGGCCTTGAGGTCCCAGCAGGAGATATTCTCATTCCTGCTGTTCCAGATTTCCCAGCTACCGTAAGTGTCACATTGTTTTCTACTACATTGATGTTGCTGTTGCTATTTCGGTCACACCTAGCAGGCTCCAATGGAAATTACAAACGTTAACAATTTCAATCTCTAGTTCCGCATTACCATGGCAGCAATCGACCCAACTGAACCTGCCGATGATGCTGAAGGTGTCAAGCCTAGATCAACCTTGAAGGTCATTCGTCAATCGAGTGCTGAGGATGAAGAAGATGACAGTGAAGATGATGATGAAGGTTCGGATGATTTATTACGTGCTTTGTTGGCAGATAATGACTCTGGATCAGATGAGGACAGCGAGGACGACGAAGAAGCCAATGGAGGACCAAGCGACCCCTCCAAGTCCAAGAAGGCCCAAAAGCAAGCTGCTCTCAAGGAGCTTCTTGCTTCCATCAGTAAAGACGATTCCGACGAAGAAATGGAGGACGCTTCCGACAAGAAGGTCGCCAAGAAAGGAAAGGCCAAGGCCACCGCCGAGGTCGAGGAGGAGAGCGAGGATGAGAGCGAGGATGGTGAAGGTATTGAGGTTGAGGAATATGTTCTCTGCACTCTTGACCCAGAAAATGTATGTGTCAAAGACCCCGCTTGTAATGAAATCACGCTGACCGTAATGTAGCACTATCAACAACCTCTCGACATCACCATTGGCGAGGACGAGACCGTTTTCTTCAAGGTCACTGGTACTCACACAATCTTCCTTACTGGTAACTACGTGATCCCAGATGACAACGGACACAACCATCACCACGAGGTTTATGACTCTGATGAGGAAGATGATGAGGACTATGACCTCTCTCCAGATGAGGATGAACTCGAACTCGAGATGGACTCGGATGAGAGCGATGAACTCGATGGTGCCCGCATTACCGAGGTCGAGTCCGAAGACGAGGAGGCCCCAAAACTTGTCAAGGCCGACAAGAAGGGCAAGAACAAGCGCTCTGCTGATGAAATCGAGGAGGCCGCATCCCTCGATGCCATTATCGCCAAGGCTGCTGACTCTGAGGAGCCAAAGCTTAGCAAGAAGCAACAAAAGAAGTTGAAGAAGAACAACGGCGAGGCTGTCCCAGCCAAGGTAGAGGAGGTCAAGAAGGATGCCGCTAAGGACGAGAAGAAGGTTCAATTCGCTAAGAATCTCGAGCAAGGACCAACTGGATCTGCCGCAGCTAAGGTAGACCCCAAGAAACCTGCATTGGGCGTCAAGACTGTCGACGGAGTAAAGATCGATGACAAAAAGCTTGGTTCCGGACCAGTCGCCAAGAAGGGTAACAGAGTTGGCATGCGCTACATCGGAAAGTTCACTGATGGCAAAGTCTTTGATTGTAAGTTGATACCCTTCAAATTTTCTTAGAACTTTCTAATATTTGAAATTTAGCAAACAAGAAGGGCAAGCCTTTCTCCTTCAAGCTCGGTGCCGGCGAGGTCATTAAGGGCTGGGACATCGGTGTCGCTGGTATGTCAGTCGGTGGAGAGCGAAGATTGACAATTCCAGCACACCTTGCATACGGCAGCAAGGGTGTCCCTGGTATCCCAGGTAACTCCACCTTGACTTTCGATGTCAAGCTCCTTGAGATCAAGTAAACGCCATCGTCATTTGTATAAGGAAGTCTCAGTCGTTTCAGAAGTGTGTTTTTCAATGATTCGAGGCTGATGGTCACTTTCATATCTATTGTACAATTTTCTCTTTACTTTCATGTATCTCCTTGCTGTCTGCGATTTCATGATATTTTCATGATATGTTAATCAGCAATGTAATGTTTTTGCATAAGTCTCCGACCTGAGCAGTTCTCTGTTTAGACAGGAAGCAGACTACGCAAAATGGGATGATGAGGTTTGCATAGCACTACAGGCGTATTTTCAAAAAGTTCGAATAGGTTTCAAACACAGGGGATTGTGCTTTAATCGGTTATCTCATAATAAACAAAAACTACTATACCAATGCAATATCGCCCTTTCCCAATGATATCTGATGGTGATGCCTTCCCTTGTTGAGCAAAGAATCTACCCATGGGTAGGAGCCCTCAAAGCAAATGATAGATAAAAGTATTACTTCTCGTTCTTCTCATTCTTGTAACCTTCATCAGTATCAACATTCTTTGTCAATCATTTGTATGCTGTTTAGCAGTTCCATTCTTACATTTTAGTATCGATAATCATTATCTAACCCTTGAGAGGATCCTCGACAATGAAAAGAACTCGTACCGGTCCTGCACTCGATCTCAATGCAGTAGACCAAACTTGCCCGCCTCCTCAATTGGAGAAGCCTCTTTTTCTCGAATCCGTTACTCAATTGGACTCAGTATCTCCGCCAAATTCTCCCACACATCATATTCATAGACCTTCGAAGTTTCGACGTCAAGGATCAAAGATTCTCTCGGTTTTACGTTCGTTGACTAACAACAGTAAGTGATTTCTTCTCTGTTTGTCTTCCGTTTCTACCTTACCCATTCTAACCGTTGGTTGTGCAATGTTAGGCTCAAGTATAGCTCTAGAAGATGATTATGCACCGTTGTCACCTCCTCCCGAATCTGTCGCTCTAGGAAAGAAAATCTCCATGGCTTTACTTAAAGCTCCACCCACAATCGTTCACCGTACACAGTTCAAAAGCAGACCCAGTTTGATCTCTCTCGATAAAGGTGTTTTGGAATTCATGCCTGATGCTCCTACTCCTCCATCGAGTGCAGAATCTGCAAGCAATAGTGGAAAATCATCTGGCCCTGATGCTAAACAATCGACTCAAAAAACTTCTCTCGAATCAAAGTTCTCGCAAAAATCTGTGGGTGTTTCGCATCACTCTTCAGAGAACAAAAAGGTCATGTCGAAGAACATGAATCAAGCAGAGGTAAGTTCTGCTGAGGGAGTTCTGGCATCGATCACTGAAAGTGAGAATGTTGAATGTCCACAGCCAGTTCCAAGTATGTTTCCCCTCTTGCTCTATAATATAGTTACGACTGACAATTTACAGCTGTGATCACCGTCGAAAAGGCAGCTTCTGCAAAAGTTTTCTTCGAAACTTATTACAATGAGGTTACTGCCAAAGCAATAACACCTCGATCTCTCCGTCGCTTGAATCTAGAGAATGAGCTACTCAACGATATGATCTCTACCCCAACAGATAAAGCCGAGAGACTCCAAGCATTAGCTACAGCAGAGACGAATCATCTCAGACAGACGAGAAATATGAAGGTGCGAAGTACCAATGCTTTGCAGGGTAGAGATCATAAACCTTCAAACTATGAGGTAATTAAGGTTCTTGGAAAGGGTAGTTTTGGTGTTGTGAGATTAGTGAGAGAGAAATGGGCACCAGGTGCTAGCGAGTAAGTTTCATTGTCTTGGTTTATTGTTTGATGGAGCTGATTGACTGATGATGGATAGATCGGAACCAAGTAAGCGTATCTACGCCATGAAAGTGATCAAAAAATCGGATATGCTCCGAAATAGTCAAGAAGGTCATTTGAGAGCTGAGCGTGACTTTCTCGTTGCTGCTGAGGGATCTAGATGGTAAGTGGAGGTAATGATATCTCTATTGGTGATACTAATCAACGTGAATAGGGTCATTCCTTTAATAGCCAGCTTCCAAGATCTCAACAATTTGTACCTCGTCATGGACTACATGCCAGGAGGAGACTTCCTCGGCCTCCTCATTCGTGACAATGTTCTCTCTGAATCCGTCACAAAATGGTATATTGCCGAAATGATCCTCTGCATCGAAGAAGCCCATGCTCTTCGCTGGATCCATCGTGATATCAAACCAGACAACTTCCTAATATCTGCATCTGGTCATCTAAAGATCTCTGACTTTGGATTAGCATTTGATGGACATTGGTCTCATGATCAAGCTTACTTTCACAATCACAGATATTCGCTTCTGAATAAACTTGGAATCACTGTTGAGGGAGATTCTCTTGATAAAAAGGAAGGAAGAAGTGTCGCTGCAGCTATGAAAATGGCTCATGTGATGATGGGTGGAAAAGAACGTCATGAGAAGAATTCGGATAATGCGTCGGAGTCAGAGAGTATTCTTAATTGGCGTAATCGTTTTGGTAATAGGACCCTTGCTAGATCAGTGGTAGGTACGAGCCAGTATATGGCGCCGGAAGTAGTGAGGGGTGAGTTATATGATGCTAGATGTGATTGGTGGAGTGTTGCTGTTATTCTTTATGAGGTGAGCTACTAGTCCCTATACCTTATACGAACAAAGTGATGCTGATAAGATCACAGTGTCTTTACGGTCATACACCTTTCCTTGCAGAGGAAGGCGGGAGACAACAAACCAAGATGAACATCTTGAATCACAAAACCACATTCCAATTTCCCTCGCGTCCATCCGTCAGCAGAAGATGCCAAGATCTCATCCGTAGCATCATCCAAGAAAAAGACCATCGCCTCTGCAGTCGCCGCTACAAATCTCGAGACACAGCACCCGGCTCCGTCTCTTCCCGTCGAAACCTCGATTACGCCGGTCGTTACGTCTACCCCAACGATGGCGAAGATATCAAAGCGCATAAATGGTTCCGCGACATTCAATGGGATCGTATTCATTTAATGCCTCCCCCTTTTATTCCCAATATCAAGTCGATGGATGATACGCATTATTTTGATGAGGAAGAACCGATTTCTGATTTCTCGGAAAGTGTGGCGAGTGTGCAACCGACGGTTCAACAGATTACTGATGCGCTTAAACCGTTCAATCGCGAGATTCAAATCCTTGCGACGGGGTTTATAGAGAGACCGCATGATACGGTTAGGTTGAAGAGGGTGGAGAAGGAAATCGATCAGTTTGCGATGAGGGATGAGGAGAAGGAATATTTGAAGAGGTTTGTGAGAACATTTGGGAAGAAGGAGAGGAAGCGACCGAGAGATAGGTTGTTGAGGGATAAGGAAATTGCGCCGAAGATTCTGGAGTTGAGGAAGAAAGGGGCGTTCTTGGGGTATACTTATAGGAGGATTGATATGGGGATGGGAGCGAGAGGGGGTGGAGATGGTAGTGGAAGTGGGAGTGGAAGGGGAGTGGTAGCAGCGGGAAGCTGGAGGCCGAATGTTTGGCATCGGGCTAGATTGAGTGTTCATTGATTAGATTGTTTTGAATTGCGTGGAGATTATGAGGTGGGTGGTTAGGCTCGACGAGAAAATGTGGGAATATGTGAGGACTGGGTTAATGATGAGGAAATGGATGAATGTTTGACTGGTGTCCGGCTTAGCCTGGCTGGGCTGGGCCGGGTTGAGCTGTAACCGAAAGGATTGACTTTTGTATTGGTTTTATAGATACTGTACACATTCGTTTATTGAAATTCTTCTTTTACTACTAATTCGACTTGATTCTCTCTTTCAGTATGACCTGAATTTGCTCTTGATTGTGTTACTAAGACGTTTGCATTCCTACACGATGGAGGAAAATGAGGCGAGTGAAGCATAAAGAAGCTAGTGAAAGAATAACCGAGGGGCTTGAAAAGAGGAGGTGTAAGTAATGTATCAATGGCCTTTGTCCTTTTTGTTTGCTTGTAATCTCAAATTAAGTAGTATAAAAGATAAGTATAATCGGATACGTGCCTTGCTTGTAAGGAAGAGACGTGATATATATGTAAATGAATAGGAAAGGTTGGACGAGCCGAGTTTTATTTCTGTGTATATAGAAGCAGGTGAAGGGGAGAGGGAAGGGGGTGGAGAAAGGTGATGATGTATCGGATTGTTTGTCTTTGGCATAGAGAGGAGAGAGGGGTATAAAAAGTATTTGTGGGAAGAAAGTACAATTTGATTAGATTTAAAGATAGTATGGGGTATATAGTATATAATATGAGGAAACATCGCACATTCCGTCGTCATTAAGCCGAACTCCAAAGGCAATGATTAGGGGGGGAAAAAAGATATTCCAAAGAAATTGAAATATGGTGGTACTCAAACGCGATCCTCAATTTCGTGAACAGATATCTTCATGTCTTTATTGTTATCGTCATCGATGGGATAAAAGTCGGTGATGTCGACGGATTTTTCACTGGGGTTATGGGGGTATGGAGAGCTAGAACGATTCGAGTTTTCAGAGAGCTCCCAGACGTAGTGATTGAGCAGGAGACGATGTTTGAGGAGAGATTGAAAGTCTGCTCCGCGAGCGGCGTTGGCGATGTTATGGGCTTGAATGAGGATTAGAAGGAGAAATCCTTCGATGATCTGGGGGTTATGTTAGTATGGAGGTTATGATGAGTGCATTATGCTGGTCAAGGCGGACTATGAAAAGAGAAAGGTTAGACGTACCATAGTTGGGGTATTGCATAGAAGTTGACCGGTTTCGGACCATTTCATTATAGATGCAGTGGCAAGTAATGCAAATACAACACCGACAGATGCGACGCACACACCCGATAATGCGCAAAACTCTCCTGCTGCGGCAGATGCTCTTGTGCTAAAGTTTCTTGGCTTGGTAGGGGTTTGGTACGGGGATGGGATATTAAGTAAATCTAATAATCGATCATCGCTCTCGGCAATTTTCTCAAATTGTACCTCTGCAACTTTCTCGTCTCGATAATAAACATTCCGAAGTACAAAAACCGTCGATAAAACCCACGAGACCGGTAAAAGTACCAATG